TATCGTCATTATGTAAAATAGTAAACCTCATATTGACTTTGGAGCAAAGTCATAAATCACGTAAATAAGGCATGATTAACCACGCGTTTGCCCATTCATTTACATGGAAATGTGTCCCACGCGACATTCTCAAACTAGTCAAACGCCATTCACTGAATGGCCAATTTCAGAAATGCGGAATGCCCTACTTCCAATGTATTTTTTGCGTTAGGACATGAATTTTCAATTTTTTTTTAAAATCGTGCAGAGAAATCAGCAATTAGAAGAAGTCGTTTGGCTTGTAAATTTCCCCACCTTAGCACTGTGGGATGCTGCCAAATTGATTGGTTTTGACATCTTTAAGCGACCGCGATATAAAATAGCCGTGATTGTAAGTGCAAAAATGTCAACACAAAGGACTCTCATGTCCTTGTCGCTCTGATTGAACACTCGGTTTTTTTACTACACTTCTTCCTTCTCCTCCCCTTGATCCTCTTCCTCCTTTTCTTCTTTTTCTCCTTCAAAGGATTTTACAAGTGCAAAAAACGCATGCACATTTCCTCTGCCTCTCTAAATAACTGAAGAATGTTCTGCCTTGCCGTAGTTAAAAATCAGCCCAGGAACGATTAATATTAGGTTAGGGGAAAAACGGGGGAAAGGAATGCCTGAAGCGGTCAAATCAAATAAGAACAAGGGAATAGCAAAATTCAAACCCAGAAAAGAGTTCTGTAAGGAGGCACAGGTTTTTTCTAAATACATTTTAAACAAGTCATCGACTCCCATAAAATTTTAGGGATATTTTGAATCGTTCTCATTCGATTGCTTTGATCATGAAATGTCTGCTAAAACAAGAAAACCACTTATACCTTTTACGCTACCGTAAGAAGTAGCACATTTTTAAGGAATGCAGTTTGAAGGAGCATTTTTATAGTAATAGAATTGCATAACTAGTGAAATGGCATTTACACAGAATATAAAAAATGTAACATTTCGATGGTTTTATGTTAGCGCTTACTCTACAGTCTTCTTAATGCATATGTGCTTATGAAAATAAATAAGGTAAATCAGAACTACTTTGGAAACGCAAACGTTTTGACCACTAAGTCAAAACGTAACTAAAACTCAATTTTCGCAAACCAACTAAAGAAGAAGGAGTTAACTTAGGTGAATTTTTCGGATTTGATATTATGGGCAAAATCTATTTATCAGCATGCCAACAGAAAGAAGTCGCATATAAACAAGATGTCAATCAATGCTCATGCGCAGTCGTTGAGTATTTAAGCCGTTTTTACGGCTTTCAGGTTCTGAGTGCAAAGTCAAAAATCTTCGGAGGTTACTAAAACCAGAGCCCTAGCTCTTCAAACTCCTGCTATAAAATAACATAAAAAAAGTCAGATTTAACAATCAGCAATCTGAAAGAAAATTGAATTTCCGGCCACTATGCACATGTCTTGGAGCAGACGATTTACGAAGGACAAAATTTATTAAAAGAAAATGCATCCAAAGTAATTAAAATTTCCATTGAAAAGCAGGCTAAGTGCAATGAAAAAGTTATCAAAATTGATTTTTGAGTTTTCTACCAAAATTTAGGACAATAAAGGTGAAAACTTGATTGGCCGTTTTCGAATGCTTTTTTGTGCAACTCAGTTATATGCCACACTGAACAGGCATAAACTTGACAGACGAAAGTTAGGCAAACTGCGGTTTAGAAAGCCAGCATGAGATATTACAAATTTCGGGAACGCCTATTCAATTTCTGCAGGGAAGAGAGTGATTCGGTTTCCGAACTCCTGCTGACAGTTCTTAAGAAGAATGAGTTAAAAAGGATAAAATCATTTTTATGTGCAAATGGGTTAGCCGACAGCAAGAAAACAGATATGAATTAAAAATGTTTCTCACTAACTTAATAAACACAGACGAAATCGTCCTTAACAAAGAAATTACGCAGATTGGAAATGCAACAAAAATTAGAGCGACCAAAGAATAAATTAATATTCATTGGCCTACTGCAAGATTTACACAGACGTAACAAAGTGTTTAAAGTAAATGTGCGAAAAACATGATTCAAATTCAGTGTTCAAATTATTCAATACAAAAGATTTTGAAACAAATAATCCGTTAAATATCCGTTAAGCATACACTATAGCACATACTCTACCGTGACAACAATTTAATTACTGACGAGGTGCAAATTAAACTTGTACATCTGTTTAATTATTTGGACTGAGGTATTTGCGCAGATGATGCTGATTGAGTACTGCAGCTATTCACATTATATTGTAGCAATAAATTTCGCAAAAAAATTTAATCAGTGAATTACCTTAAAAGAATAATCCGGCTGGACCTCTTTATCGTTCATTTTATTTTAAAAGATTGGATTTAGG